AGGGAGGCAGAACCTTTACAGCTGCCTAACCAAAGACGCTTTCGAGCGGATCGCGGCGCAGATTGTGCGGGGGCCACAACCGGCGGAGGAGTTTAACACTCTGGACGACTTGAAGGACTGCTTCATGTTCCAAACGGAACCTGATGCGGAGGCGTTGGAGCGGAACGACTTCTCTCTGGGGTTTCTCCTCCGGCACGACGAGAAGGGCCGGAACAACACCATGATCTCGGGGATGCTTCGCCCGAAGGAGGCTGCCACTCGCTTCTAGGACTCCTCCGACGCAATTTTCAGAGAGATGGGGCAACCGGGGAGGGGTAACCCAGGAAACTACTTCTCGGGGGACTGCTTCGACATCCCAGACGAAGCAGTATCCCGTGATCCCTCATTTCTTTGAGGTCGATCTCGTCCTTGAATTCCCTCCGCCCTTGAGCGCTGGAGGGAAGAAGGTCCTACAGGTTTGAGATTCCCCAGCACGCCTCCGTCCAGCTGGCAACACTGCGTCCAGGCGACCCCATCTTTTTACTGGACGCAGAGACAGACGAGTTGATGGGGACCTGGTTCATGACCACTGTGGACCTTCCCCCCGGCAAGAACGGAACTCCGGTGACGTCAGACCTGCTGAAGGCAGTCGCCGACCCCGACGCGCTGGCGGCCTACTACGCGGTTGACCCGGCCGCGCCTCCGCCGCCGGAAGGCTGGACGCGCTGGGCGTACGTCCGGTACATGGGCGCCTACGAGAACGGAAACGGCTTCCGGGCTCCGTTCTTCATCTCAGAGGCGGAGTTCCGGGCGGTCCGCTACCACATCATGGACCAGAAAGGGGGGGCCTCGGAGAAAGGGGAGGGCAAGTACACGCTGCGCCCGTTGCTCGCGCACGAAAGCCCTGCAGGGATGTTTGGAACCCCTGGTTACTATCCCATCCGGACGAGCGGATCTTCCCCCGCCGTTAGCCTTTATTCGGAGTACTTCTGCATGCTGGCAGGAGCGCTTCCCCCCTATCAGAGTTACACCGTCAAGGAGGGAAATCGGACGCGGGCGGCGCGCTGGTTCCCCGGTCTCCAGCTTCCCAACGAGCTTCAGGCCCTCGCGCGGCCGCACACTCCGCGCGCGATGCAGGTCTGACCTATGATAGCGTATGACGCGCAGGCTCGGGCCGCCGTCTTCGAGCGTTACACCCCGGGAATGAAGCTGCCGGCGAGCCCCGAGAAGGAGAAGTCCCTGCAAGGGAGGAAGAAGGAGGCGACGCCGAGCCCGGGGCTGGATCAAACCGGGGGAGCTCAGCTGCTCGGGCACACTCCCCCCCTAATGAAGAGACCGGCAGAGGAAGAAGTCGGGGGGTCTGGTCGGAAGAGGTACCCGAAGGGGGCCGCGCAGCCAACGGAGTCGGTTGTTCCGAGTCAGGTTTTGGCTCTGGCCGGGGACCTGAGTTTGGCCGGTCGGTTGAGCGAAGGAGGGCCGGCTTCTCCGGGCGAGAACGCCGCCCGGTTGCTCCTGGAGGCCATGACCCGGCTTCCCACTGCGCTGACCGGGAGCGCCTTCACCCAGTTCGTCAGCTTCATAGGGAGGTTACCGGCCGCCATTCCCCGGCTATCCGCTAACCCGGCTCCCCAAGCCAACCTGCAGATAATCAGCCTGCTGAGCGACTTTGTCGCCGCGGCCGCCCGCGTCTCGGCCACGCTGGCCGAGATTCTGCTGATGGCCATGTACGAGCTTCTGAAGGACAGAGACATCACCGGCGCGATCCCGACCAGTCATCTGCCTTCCCCGCCTCGCGGAGGGGGCCCAGGCCCAGGATCCGGGGAGGAAGATTCGGAGGAGGAAGACAGGGAGCTCGTGCGTCGCGGCCGCAAAGGGCGCGGCCCAGTCATTGTCCCAGGGTTTACCGTCGCAAGGAGCAGGGAGGCGGCTCTGAACAGGGGAAGGGGCCAGGGCAGGCGCAGGCCCCTTTGGGGAGAATCGACAGCCCACTCCGCGGCCGCTCCCCCTCGCCCAGGCGCGGCCTCTCGCGCGATTCGCGCGGCCGCGAGCGCTCCCCCCTCTCTCGCCGCGCACGCAGCAAGTCCTTCTCGGGGGACAGAAGCACTTCGAGCTCCTCTGAGGGCTCAGAACCCCCCTCACCAACTGCAGGAGGCGCGACTTCGGCTCGACGCGTGTCCCACTTCCCCGACAGAGGTGCCACGTGGCCGGCGCCTCTCTACCCGACGCCGCGCCCCACCGCGGCCGCGACTCCGCCAACGCAGGTCGCGGCTCCGCCCCGCGTCGCGCCAGAGGTCGACTCCCCCTTCTTTCGCATGGACGAGGACGAAGTCGACTTCGAGCGCACGCCGGAGCGCTTCTGACGGCGGAGGATGACGTCACAGCCATGGAGGAGGCGCCCCCGGTTGGTGACCGCCTCCCGGTGCATCAGCGCCTGGGGACCGTCACGGCTTTCCCCGAACGGAGGCCCATTTCTGAGCGCCTTTCTGGACAGGTGCAGGAGTCCAGAGTGCCGGTCGCAGACCGCCTCGGGCCCACGAACAGTCGGCCCCGAGTCCAGGATCGACTTGACTTCTCCAGGGCGCCCTCCCCCAGTGACGACCCCACGGTGACGATCGGGGATCGTCGCCTGTCGCTCGCTTCCGAAGAGGAAAACCGCGAGGAGTTGGCGCTCGAGCAGCAGTTTGAGGGGATCCCCTCACCGACCCCTGGGGTACAGCTGGACGGAACCCCTGAACCAGATGATGGAAGCGTTAAAACCAAACGCTCCCGCTTCGACGAGCGCCCCTCTTTTCTGACGGCAGTCGAGGCAGAGCTGCGCTACATCTCGGCGCAGCGACTTTTGCAGAAACATCGCCTGGCGGAGAAGACGTGGAGCGCCTACTGCGACGACCCCAACAACATGTGCCCGGGTCGAGCTGAGGACTTGGACTGCCTCGAGGGCATCCGTTTTCAGATAGCGGAGGCTGAGGCGGAGTGTGAACGGGCGAAGTGGGAAGCTGACTTCGCGAAGGTGCGCGAGCAGGCGCAGGCTAAAGCAGCCGCGGCCGCCGCCTCTGTTTCGACGATCAGTCTGGGGTCGGGGTTTGAGCAGGGGAAGAAGAAGCGCCCCGCCAATAGACGCGGGGGCAAGGGGAGGAAGCCGGCCAAGCCGCCCTCTTTCGCGAGACCTGGCGCGGCTGGTAAGGGCGGCTCGAAGACGGCTCCGTTGAAGAGGTCGTCCACGAGCACGTCTGTCGTCACCACAGCCGAGATCTCCGCGTCGATCAAGACTGTCTCCCGCACCACGCGCTGGGACAAGTGATCTTCTGTACATACAGATAGTAAGTCTCTTTTCCTTCTCGCTCCGGGACGAGCTCCTAGCGAGGGGATAGAGAATACAGATGTGCTCTTTGAATGCTCCCGCCTTGCGCGCGTATAAGATAGCGACACGTGGCATGCAGACATTTGCCGCTGCAGGACAGGTGTGCGCGCTAAGCCGCGGCGCGAAGTAAATCTGGTTCAATGAGTTGTGCAGGCTCCGCAGTTCAGGGTTTAGCGCGTGGAACCTTCCGGAACCACGTGCTTATTGCGGAAGGCCGCACGATGACTTTAGAGTAGCTCAAGACCGTAGATCGGCGGAGTCTAACCGACCGTTGGAAATTAGAAGACAAAAGGCCTCGCGGAGAAGACTCCATAGCGTTCTAGAAGTAGCGCGCGGACATGCCCCTAACTCGGAGGCCGTAGAAGCCACCACTGCCAGATCGCAAAAAGATTGCCGTGCAGGATAAGGTAGTTTCAGCCGTCCAAAAGCCCATCGACGGTGCAAATGTGACCCATCCAAACACCAGACAGAAAGTAGTGTCAATGACGGGGCAAAAATGCTCTGGGCGTGCACAGTGTGGCTGCGCGTGCACAGTGTGCATTTTGCCGTACCGCCGCGCGAGCAAAATGTTACCAGAGGCCACGCGTCGCATGTATCGACCGCCAATTGTACCGCGTGGTCCAAACCTGTCAGATTGCGCAGAGGTACCGTACGGTCACGGAGTCCAGCCTCTACGGTCTATGTTTAATTAAATTGACGTTGGGCGGTAGCTTTGGACCGCGCCGCGGAAAACTCGTAGAGGCCGAGTCAATTACAAATTGTTGCCCGTGACTTGACTCGGCCGGTCGCGACCCGCACGGTGGAAACTTCACCGAGGGTAGACTTTAAGTATAACAGCTAGTTCAAGTCACGGTCGGACATAGTGGTCGGGAGCTATTTGATTTCCCGGTGCTATTTTTTGGAGCTCAACTGCCCCTAACACTGCCGCCGAACCTTATCCTGCAAACGAATCTTATCCCAATTCCCCGACCACTTCTCCATCAGGCAACCGGGCTGAGTTAGGGGCATGGTCGCAAGCCACTTCTAGAACGCTATGCTCTAGTACTCCGCACTAAGTTACGTGACTGGGCAAAGGAACTCAATACCTCATTGAGAATTTGCGCTAAGACTGCTTGGTCTATTGTGCAGGTTCTCCACGGGGCCTCCTTTCCGGAAGCTTCTACGAGTTCCAGCGACCCAGTCATACTGTAAATAGAGGCTCTGTCGACTTAGGGAAGGCCGCGCTACACTTCGCATGAGTGCTGTGTGTTGGCCATCATCATGTATGGCTCCGCAAGCATGAATGCTCATGGCCATTGTTGGGGAAGTACCCACATGGTGGAATAGCTCGAGACGTTGCTCCCCGAGAAGTACAAAGTGTTATCATTGTGCATTGTGTGAATGAATGTGTGACTTGTTGACAGGTGAAAGCTTCGCATATGTAATTGCAGCCTACAAGCTGCTAAAAGCAAGTGGTATGGGACACTTGTGCATTTGCTGAGAGCTACTACGTTCCGGAGAGCTGTGGCCTGATAGGCTCGCTACGCTAAGACAAATTCCGCTGCGCAGGCGACTATCGCGGCAGAGCGCGCAGGCCTTAAGCTGGCCGCGCCGCCCCGCGCGCATGATAGTGCGCCGCAACTCCGATCACCCTTGCCACGTGGCGCTAAACCCCGAGAGTGGGCAGTGGCCATAGGGGGGTGCTCTCTAGAGCATACAAAATCCTGATACGCAAGTACGACTTCCATCTCGATCCTCGAGATATTTCTACCGATATTTTAAGCCAAATTGCCCTGGATTGGAATTTGAGTAGGTTTGGCTAAGGTCGGCTTGGGGTTTTTGGTTAGGTATAAGGCCTAACGAATAGTTATCTGTGCGATGCGGGGTAAATGTCCAGATTTGTTAGGCTTGTTAGTCTTTGATATTAATAATTTATTGATGATATTCGTTTATTTGTAAGAATCTTGGTGCCGCTTATAGCACTGTAGTCGTCCGAGCCAGGCCGATTTGCCAAAAATAGGTGGACGGCCGCGGGCCTCCAATTTCCAAATTGGTCAGCACGTTCGGCCCGGGGTGTCTGACGAATTTACCACTTGGGCATAGGTATCAGCACTTGCAACAAAAGTGTTGTAGGTACACTTTTGTTGTACGTACGGTACCTAGCTGGGCCAGAGCCTGGGACCTGTCAGCTGATGTCAGTCACCCAGTACAGTAGGTAACTACCTTTTAGTAGTTACGCAGTACATGCATGCAGCATGCGGTACTGCAGCGGTAGGCTAGGCACACTGGGTGACAAGTGACAGTGACTGAGCCCGCCGTTCCTGAATCCTGATATCAGGTCCGGCCATGCCGGAGGGGGAAGTTTCATGTATTCAAGGGACAAAGTGCACAATTGCGTTCGATCCTAGTGCATCTAATATGTACGGTAGGTAGGTGAATTTCTTCTCCATTGTATGAGATCGAATGCATTGCGGCCCCATTCATGATACTCAGTCGCTGGACGGTTGATCTCAGTGCCAGGTAGGTACTTGGATCATTGTTCTAAAACTCTGAAAGCTGCTCTCAGTGTTTGAGGAAGAGAGGAAGAGGGCTAGTTGCGTACTGTTTGCAGATTATGGACAAAGTGTTGGTAGCGTCTACCAGTGGTCATTGCCGATTGCTAATCTGGGCTAGATTGGGCTAAGCTCTTGGCATGGCTTTACAAGATATTTTGACTGCTACATGATCCAGAGATTACAAGCCTACTCGATCGATCTCGCACGAAAATCAAGGAGCTAGAACTGCTATTTTTGCTAGTCGGTCAATGATCCTTAATTCGATAACTAAAGTCACAGATCCGACACAAACGAGTCCGCAGTGCGCACTGCATGTTCCAAATTCCTAGCGACACATCCTTTGATTCTCTCCACAAAATTCGATCCATCAAATTATCAATCCTATTTAAACATAAACTCAGTAAAGAAGTGCGCGGGAAGTGCGACTCATGGCAGCACGCAAGCTGAAGTGGTATTGAAACGCTGGTTCGTCAATTTTACCTACCTAGTCCTAAATTATAACTGTAACCCCGTCTTTTGGGCGGCATAGATTGAGGTCAGTCTCTGATCTCAGCCCTAGTTGTGTCATAATGATGGTTCGCCAATGATCAAATGATGGCACGGCATACCACAAAGTGGTCCCGCATCTTATTTTACGATTTCTCGATCATGCATTTGTCATACTACGTGCGTACACTGTCAATGTGTGTGAGGTAGTTTGAGCACTGCTGCTTGCATGCAAGGGATTGTGACAACCGGGTGCATGGAGCCAGGCTGCCGGGTACATGGAGCGCCTGATTTTTACAGGAGGTATACGTGACGGAGCATAAGCTTAAGGATCGCGGGCGCAACAAATTGTTCTCTATGATCGGTTTGACGTATGCAATAAATTACTAACGCGTGAAACGGCTATCTCAGGTGCAGGCTGTCTATAGCTGTTCAAGCATATGGGCACGTATCCGGGCCATTGCCAGTACGTCTATACATGCTGATCTTTTCATTACGCAAGATGTGAATCTACGTACCATGCACACGTTGATGACGGCAAATTTATGATTGTGACACAGACGTAACCGTCATAACCAACTTGATCCCAGAATACAAATTTCAAGCGTGCTGCACGTACGAGAGTCTCCAGGATCAAGTACTTCAGCTGCTGCGTCCATTATTTCTGAGGCAGAGCACCTGCTTTAAAAGTCAAGTGATCCATCATACTGGGAGTTCGCTCTTTAATCACTTTCAAAGCCAATTGTCACTTCTGCGAGGTAATACCTGACAGATGCAAGAACGGTCGTATTACTTATATGCTTAGCATTGGCTGGACAAGCAATTTATCGCCACTTCTGAACACAGTGGTATGTATCTAATTTTGAGGAGCAGCTTGGGCCTGGTCAGGGAGCAACCGCGAATGCCTCCCTCTCAAAAGCCTCATGTTCCTTTCGCCGCTCGTCATCTGCCTCCGTCTGTGCAAGGGACATTGCGATTGCCGCAGCCAACTGCTGTTCAAATAGAGCGTCGCTTCCCACGTGCTGGTTAGAGTCAGCTCCTACACTGGATCGAGTACCTTCGACCTTTCCAAAGCGCTCGTGGACTACACTGGTGGACGTCTCTTTCGAACTCAGACTCCGCCGATGAACTCCAGCCACTTCACGTGCATCGTCACTACCTGGTGTCGAATTAGGCGGGCGCGGAGGGGGGTACTTGACTGGTGAATAGACGGGGGAGCACGCTTCACCGAAAGCGCTGCTACCAGAGCCGCTGAGAGACCGTGCCCTCCGCTTATGCGAGCCGGCTTCCCCGCCAGCTTTTTGCTCCCCAGTCCCCTGCAGGCCGTCACTCAATGGTGGATACAGATCGCCGAGCACTCCCTCAGGTTTTGCCAACAAACTCGAGCTGGAATGTGCCACCTGAGAAGCCAAGAGCGACCCGGCTGGACGTGCCGGCTCGGCCCAGGCTTCCCCCGACAGACGCCCAGCCGTTCTCGACTTTTCCTGCGAGTCAGACTCCGCTAGGCCCACAAACGGGTTGGTGGACGCAAAGCCGCCGCTACTCTCCAGCCCCACCCAAGGGGCATTTTCCAGGGTGAATTGCTCTCGTCTTTGCCCCGCATCCCAGACACGTGACGTTTCGTCCTGTCTCTCTTGCGACCGCCCTTCCGTCTCCGCCATGGTTTCACTCTCGGACAGCCAGATTCCGGACCCTCCTTCCTCGGCTTCGCTTGACCTGAAACCCCTTCCACGGGATTCTGGACTAGACTCGTGGAACCCGCTCTCACGCTCCACAGCCCGCTCATTGTAGGCCCCCATCTCGCTCCACGGCGCACCTTCCAGAGCAAACTCGAGCTTAGTAGGCTCCAAGCTCGTCGCCACACTCTTCCAAACAGAAGCTCTCCCTCCCTCGTCTTGGCCCGCCACCCTGTTGCTGCCCTCGCCCGAACTAGGCTCCACTCTCGACTTCCTCGCCATCAGCTGCGCCAGAGACAGAGGTTCCACTGGACCGATCGCCGACGAGACAAGGCCCCCCTCGCTTTTGCCACCGTCCGACTCCGCATTTCCCAATGACCGATACACCGAGTCCGGCCGGAGTTGCCCCATCATCGGCAGCCGCTCGCGGCTCTCAGCCAAATCCCGTCGGTTACCATCGCTTGTTAAGGAGCCTAACCCCGTGACGTCAGCACTGGTGACCCCCGACGAAGGCTCCGCACTCGTCTCGAAGTCGAGAGGCCCTGCGGAGGACCCCGCCGCACCGCTCCCGCGGCCGCTGCTCCGGGTTTCGCGCTTTCTTAGTAAGCCTTCGGTGTTGCCGGCTTCAATCTGCCCTGCCCCGTCAGCGTTAGTATGGTACGCCGCAACCCCACGAGGCTGCTCAGCACCGTTCCGATTTGCCATGTGAAAATCAGTCACGGAATCGAGAGCCAGGGTTTGTGACGTCAGCGAACTCTCCTCTCCGTCAGCTCCCGCAGCCGCTCCAGTTGCAGACGACTCCACTCGTTGGCCCGCAGCTGCATCAAGAGCGGGGGACAACTCTCGGCCCGTGTTTACAACGACCCCAAGCGCCTCTCTGTGCAGCGAGCAATCCAGCCCCCGCCCGCCGACAGCCCCTTCTCCGCTTCCACTAACCCGACCAAAACCCTCCGGCCGGTTACCAGTTAGCCCGCTCCCTTCTCTAGGATTTGGAACTGAGCCTACCGACTCGGGGGATCCCTCAGCCACACCCCCAGTCCGTGTGCCCCAGGCAGCGCTTTCTTCAAGGGACGCCGCGATCGCTTTCGCCAGCTCGCTTGCGGCCGCTTCGTCCGGATCTTCGTAGACGGGGCTCTGAGCCCCCGATCCCGCCACAGCTGCGGCGGCTTGGTCCGGGGAGCCGCCTGTAGCGGGACCCGGGTTTGAGGGGCCTTGAGAAGTCCGGCGCTGGCGGTCCTCCTCTTCCTGCAGGGAAAAAAGAAGAGGAAGTCTAGCTAAAACCGTCGAGGTGGAAGGTTCGTGTTAGGTTGGCGAATGCCAAGTGCGCTTTGGAGTCCCGTTGCTCGCTAGGCATTGAGAGCACTTCTGAAGCCAATCAGGTCGCTTCGCTTCTTGTGGGCCAGAGAGACGTGAATCTCATCACAGTCATCTTCCTTACTGCGAGCTGGAGCTGGTAAGGGAAGTTTGTTCACTTCTGAATGTGCCAGGCCGCAGGACAGGTCCCGTCAGAAGCGGACCCAGGTTGCAAGTCTCAACCGAATTCCGCATTAGAATTAACTTCAATTATCATCTGAGCTCAAGTTCATCCAACAAGTATTCTGCAAGCAAACTTCCCAGTGCTGCAAGGTGCCTGTCACATGATGATCAATTTGTTCCTTGCTCGAATAAGTACCTACGCTAAACGGTATCTACCACACTCTGATGCAGAGGCGACACATGATCTTGCAGGCAACTGCCTATGAGGCACCAATCACTTAGTAAACGGACTCCTTCGGGAGACATAATGTGCAGGAGACTAAGCACGCCAGACAGAAAGAAGAAGTTGGGTATAGACGGCCCGTACCTGAAGCGACAGCCAGATTGCTTCGTTGAGCATGACGTCATCCAGATCTACGTCCGTCTCCGCGTTCCCACTGCAAGAATGTGAAAAGGCATGAGGTCAGCAAAAGCGTGACTGGACGGTGGTGCTAAGCAACGAACGGCTAGCAAAGAGCGACGACGGCAAGGTCCCTGTTTTTCGGCGCGGTGGACTAATGTCTTCATTTCGCCTAGAATTCGGAACAGAGAGCCAGCCAGAACAGAATCAACAAAAACGCAGATTAGAAGGAGGCCTTATGAAAGGACGAAGCCAAGTTGTCCGCCATTAGTGGTATCTAATAACGGAAGCGAGCGCAGGGTCGAGAAGAAATCCCGGTTCCCAAAAAGGAATCTTCCCTATATTATTGGACACTTAATGCATAAAGGCTGCCATTGGTGGAGCAGATATCCAGAATCGAAGTCAGTGTAGAGCCATGACCCCAGTTCCACGCAGAAATGTCCGCCCTATCTGTCTGTCCACAGTTTATAGAATGCGCAACAACACTCATCGACAAGGCGCAGGCAAAGGTAACCACTCGTAAAACAAGGGTCACGTCAATTACCGGCGCGCCATGGCCCTGAGAATGGGCGAGGGACCCTCTCCGCCCTCCCCAGCCTCGTCTCGGTTCGCTCTGGCTTCGACAGGTGTCACGACGACATTGGCCCGGCTTTCAGCAGCTGACGCAAGCAATTGTTGCAGGAAGTCGGCGGCAGTGGTCGCGGACGGGTCGGACTCGGCCCCTCTTCCGGACGTACGGCGACTGTTAGAACCGCTCCCCTGCAGTGAAAGGACATGTATTACAAAGCGCAAATGTTTGTTGAATCTAGTAGTCTCTACATAGAGAGCTATTGAAGGTTCAGTTTCACCAAGCACCTGCTTCAGCAGAATGCGCTTATACATGGTGAAGGGCTGCAAGCTACAACGGCTGCCGAACAGA